GTAACCTCTACTTGAGAGATAAAAATTGGCCGATTTTATTTTTTAGCCGGAAATCATCGGTCGTTTCTTAAGCGCAGGGCCTCTTAAAATTTCCGATAGGTGCGGTACAATGTATTATAAATCCTGACAACTGTAATTACAATATACGGCAGGTGTTACACGTCGCGTCAACTGTACAATTACAATCATGATTTACGATAGGTATCACGCACAATATTTCGCAACAGGTAATACGTTTAAATTTGTTAAGCGAAACATTACAACACCACTGCTCTCAATTATAGCGGGTGTTCTCTACTGCCTCTGCTAACATCACTGCTGCTAATAGCCCAACACTTTTCTTCTTGAATTGTCTTTGAGACGATAGGACTAAAGACATTCAGAGCAGTGTAGTCATGAGCTCTTTTGTGCTCTTCGTTTTCGTGTCATGGATTTCAATGATGCCTTATTCAACGCTTGCAGAGGGTGAGTGCCGAAAAATATCCTCTATGTGACTATGAATTTGTTTTCTTTTTTATGTTTAGCGTGGCAATCAGATGTATTTTCACCGGCATACGGTATCTTGACAAAAGTAAGAGTTCGAGGAATTCATAAAATTTGGCATGTTCAGGCATTGTCGCTACAATAAAGCGGTACTTAAAATCGCCTGAATTCGGTGCTCCTATTCCTAAACCACCTGAACTCAGTATATATTTGATGAAATGCCTTTTTGCCCACGTAAAAGTAGCGCAAAATTTTGGATTTTTGTCTTTAGATTACTTTCGTGAGTGCAAAAAGTGATTTTAGCTGCTACTAGGAGGAGTTAAACTGACACTTGCACATACAAGCTTTAAATGTTATACATCAGGGTCCAGTTGTTCGAAGGCTAGATGATGCTATCCACCGGATAAATCGCTATCTAGTGGATAAGTGTTAACAAAGCAAACCACACTAGTATTCGCTGGATGGTGATTTATCCGGTGGATAGCGTTATCCGACCCTCGAACAACTGGATCCTGGCAACTACGGTTTCAAAACATGTCTCTCATTAGTCAATAGCTGGATCTTAAGCAAAGCACGACGGCAACGGCAACGAGAACGTCACCAAACAAAAAGGTTTTATGAGCAAAACAATGGCTGTGCACGTGCGTTATAATTCTTGGTACATTTCTTTGCTGTCCTCTGCAAAACAGCAACGTTAAATGACCAAATTCTGCGTTGTCTGGAGAACGTGAACCACAACGGCTAATGTTTCGTATTTCTATTTGGAGTTGAACGCGTTCGTAGCATATTCAGCAGGGGCAAGTTTTAATACCGACAAACACACTGGATAGTTCCAAAATAAATGCGATATTCCAAAGTAAAATAGAGACACATCTTTTACTAGGCGTCGTCCTTGCCGTTGCCGTCGCGGCCATCGTATCTGCGTAAGGTCCCTAGTGTTGGCTGCGGCATCGACTTCACATGACTGGCGCGGGCCCGGCACAAGAAGGCCACCAAACAAAAGGATTAATGAGAAAAACAATGGCTGTGACGAGGGCTATAATATTTCTACATTTCTTAGCCGTCCGCTGCAAAACAACAACATCCCGAATAACCAAGTTTTGAGTACTTTAGTGGACGCTAAAGACGGGGGCTAATTTTTTGTATTTTCATTTGGAATCTAACGCTCGCTGGCGATGCATATTAAGCTTGAGCAAGTTCTGAGACAAACAGGGGCTCTAAACAGATCTAGAAAATTACAAAATTCGAAGGTAAAATAAAAATTCATTTTTTACCTAGCGTTGCCTTCGAGCTCGCCGTCGTCAATTGCTTAAGCTCCCTACTATCTTAACTTATCTGATCTTGTCTACTGGAAACATCCAGTGTGAAAAAAAAGGTATTAACGTTATAGCTTCTGTTCTTTTTCCTTTTCTTCTTGCATTGCCTTGCCTTGCCTTGCCTCCGTTGACTACATCACAAACCTTTGCGAAAGGTTCACGTTAGAAGAACCGAGTGCAGTGATATTGGGCGAAACTAGTTCCCAGTTTTCAGTGAACAAACCGCAATTTAGAAACGAACAAGCAAGCAAACTCTTTTGATGCCAACAGTGTCCGCTGACGCCGACATAACTTTTTCTTACTTTCGTTGGACTGTCCTAAACGCTGAACCTTCAGTAGCTATTTATTCATCACTCGCCATAATTTTTAGCGGAGCTCCGGCGGCCCGAAGGGCCGCCAAGCGGAGCCCCATATTCATATGGGAAAGAAAAGAAATCCATGAATGAATTTTCTCATGGTTTTCATGGCTAGCGGTATTGCTCGTGGGCGCGTATGCACGACGATGACGACGACGGCGACGGCGACGGCGGAGTTGCCCAACATGGCGGCCATACTCCAATTAATAGGTCGACAG